ACATGCATGCATGCATGCATGCATGCATGCATACACTCACACATGCATTCATACATACATGCATGCATGCATGCAAGCATGCATACATACATACATCCACATAACTGTACACATATGCATATACATACATTAACACACATAGGCGTGTATGTTCACATACATATGCAGATATCGAGGACGCCGGCGGCGCATCACCGGCCGCTCCCTGGGAGTTTACCGAAGTGGCGCGTTGCATCGAAAGTCGTGACGCGTGGGTTTTGGGTCGGAGTCCTCATGGACGCTTCTTAGGGTTTCGCGAGAGGGCTCTCGGGGGCCTCTGCGGGGGAGTTTCGGGGCCTCTTGGGGGCCTCCTGGGGGCTTCGTGGGAGCCTCTTGGGGCCCTCTTGGGGCCTCTTGGGGCTCTCTTGGGGCCTCTTGGGGGCCTCCCGGGGGCCTCTGGGGGCCTCTTGGGACCGAAAGCTCGAAATGTTCATTCGGGTTCCCCTTCTGGGTGCCTTCTTGGGGCTGTCCTGGGGCCCCTCTTGAGCCGTCCCGGGGGCCTCTTGGGCCGTCTTGGGGCCCTCTTGGGCTGTCTTGGAGCTCTCTTGGTGGCTTGTTGGGCCGTCTTGGGGCGATCTCAGGGGCCTCTTGGGCCGTCTTAGAGCATCGGTAAGCCGAAATGGCGAGAACGCGAAAATCCTTCAAAAACCATTGAACAATCAATGATTTTTGCTTCTCGGGGCTGTCTTGGGTGTGCTCTTGGAGCCCTCTTGGGCCGTCTTGGAGGCGTCTTGGGCCGTCTGGAGGCCATCTTGGGCGTCTTGGAGCGATGTGGAACCGTCTGGAGGCTCTCTTGGACTGCTCGGGACTCTCTTGGACCGGCTTGGGGCGCCCTTGGGTCGTCCCCGGGCCGTTTGAGACCTTGGGGGGGGGGGCCGGCGGCAGAGTGGGGCCCCCTCGGAGGGACTTTCAGGAGGTTTTTGACCAGGCACTGGAGAAGGGGGCCAAAGACTGTGCCAGACACTGTGTCAGAGAGGTCTCGCACGGCCCAACCCGCCGGGCGGGAGCGGCCGGATCGAGGACGCCGGCGGCGCATCACCGGCCGCTCCCTGGGAGTTTGCCGAAGATCGCGCAGCATCGAAAGTCGTGACGTGGCGCGGCCCATCCCGCCACCGTGCTTGGGTTTTGGGTCGGAGTCCTCGTGGACGCTTCTTGGGGTCTCGAGAGGGCTCTCGGGGCCTCTGCGGGGGAGTTTAGGGCCTCTTGAGGGCCTCCTGGGGGCTTCTTGTGAGCCTCTTGGGGGCCTCTTGGGGCCTTTGGGGGCTCTCTTGGAGCCTCTTGGGGGCCTCCTGGGGGCCTCTAAGAGCCCCCTGGGGGCCTCTTGGGACCGAAAGCTCAAAATGTTCATTCGGGTTCTCCTTCTGAGCGCCCTCTTGGGGCCGTCCTGGGGCCTCTCTTAGGCCGTTCTGGGTGCCTCTTGGGCCGTCTTGGGGCCCTCTTGCGCCGTCTTGGAGCCCTCTTAGGGGCTTGTTGGGCCGTCCTGGGGCGATCTTGGGGGCCTCTTGGGCCGTCTTGGAGCGTGGGTAAGCCGAAATGGCGAGAACGCGAAAATCCTTCAAAAACCATTGAACAATCAATGATTTTTGCATGTTGGGGCTCTCTCGGGGGTGCTCTTGGAGGCCTCTTGGGCCGTCTTGGAGGCGTCTTGGGCCGTCTGGAGGCTATCTTTGGCGTCTTGGAGCGATCTGGAGCCGTCTGGAGGCTCTCTTGGACTGCTCGGGACTCTCTAGGACCGGCTTGGGGCGCCCTTGGGTCGTCCCCGGGCCGTTTGAGACCTTGAAGGGGGGGGGGGCCGGCGGGGGGCCGGCGGCAGAGTGGGGCCCCCTCGGAGGGACTTTCAGGAGGTTTTTGACCAGGCACTGGAGAAGGGGGCTAAAGACTGTGCCAAACACTGTGTCAGAGAGGTCTCGCACGGCCCAACCCGCCGGGCGG